TTTTTATCAATATCTGACAAAACAATTTCTTGACAACGTACAAGTCTAGAAGCCCCTCCATAGCACTACCATCTCTCACTACCCTTATTCATATTCCATCTCACTCTATGCATGGCTACGTCCTTGGAAGGAAGAAGTTCATATTTACCAGCTTTCTCTATTTCCTTTCCCTGTGTGTTTCTTGGTTCATCATCTACAGCTACCAATGTCAGGTTCTCCTCCAGATTTTTCTCAGTACCTGATCCAGAATTTGGTGGTTTTTTTCTCTCGAGAGAAGCTAATGTTTCCTCGGGCTCGGATTCAACTTCCGAATCGTCGCCGTAACAAAGAGCTGCAAGGGGTTTGATAATTAGAAAAATGTTCTACAAGATTGGCTACTAAAATATTTCAGGCAACATATTTGAAAGAGTAAATTGCACTATTGCCCTCCAAACTAGTCAGTTTTTGCATAATGGACCCCAAACTTTCAATTTTAACAAATTACACCCTAAACTTTAAAATCAATTACAATCGAAGTCCAGAACTAATGGCGTTACCAAATTGATAGTTCAAGACACGACTTATACGTGACATGGTTTGAAAAGTGACGATATTTACCTTTCATTTGCGAATTGCGTGTTTTAACCCATCAATTTGATAACATTCCTTACCTATTGGACCTCCATTGCAATTAATTTTAAAGTTCAAAATGCAACTTTCCAAAATTGAAAGTTGGGAGTGCATTATGCAAAAAACAAATAGTTTGGGGTGCAACAGTTCGCTTACCTGAAGTTTGATCATTGGAGGCAGGATATTTTTCCATCTTATCATCGAATCTCTTAGCCTTATTTGACACCGATAAGACATCCCGCAAAGCAATTGGGGTGTCTCCACATTTGTTCAATGACTTTTTCAAGGGCAAAGGAGTGTTTGTTGTTGGAGTGTTGATGGTAACAGTCGATTCATCCATAGTCAGTGAACCGCACAAAAAAATCGGGGCACGGTTTCGCGAGGGATCTTTGTCCACTGCTTTTGTTGTAAGCTAATTGTTTACAAATAACACTCAATCAGGAAAATACTTTGGCAGCTTAGAATTTCGAACAAAGAATGAGTTATTTTTCATTTCAATGTAACACAGAGCGAGTATCTCATAAAATTATAAATTATTGGACTCTTTCCTAGACAATGGGTGTGAA